ACACCCCCCATCCTGCTGCAGCATCCCCGGGGTGCTCTGAGGGTGGGGGTGAGGGTGTCCTGGAGACCCCAGGGGCCCAAATAGCGGGTGTGGGGGGTAGCCTGGGACACCCCGGCTGCTGGGTGTGTGATACCCCAACCACCTGAAGTGTGGGTGCGTGGGGCAGCCCGGGACCCCCCGGCTGCTGGGTGCTCCAGACTCCCCAACCAGCTGGAATCTGGGTGCCTGGGATACCCCAGCTGCTGGGTGCGTGACACTCCAGCTAGCTAAAATCTGGGTGCTTTAGGGTCTGGGGACTGGGTGAACAGGGCCACCTCGACATCTCAAATGCTTGAGTGCACCCTGAGGGTCCTGGGGTGCGCAGCTGGACCCTGCTGCTGTGCAGGACACCCCGTTTGGGCACTGGCCCCACACAAGGCTCCCCTTTTGGTGTGGGTGCTCCTGGGCAGGGATGCAGTGCTGGAAAACTCCTGGGGAGGTTCAGGGGCTTGTTTTGAGCAGGGTGGTTGTACCAGATGATCCCCAGATGTCCCCTCGGACTCCAGCTGCTCTGTGCAATGCAGGCAGGATGGGGGTGCACACCCGGGGGGAACTTGGCTGGCCACCTTCCCAGAGCTGCTTTGGCCTTGGCCGGGCATCTCCAAGCTCCTTCTCCCCGAGCCAGGGTGGCTGCAGGAGGAAGCAGATTCCCCCCCCCGGGAAGCTGCCCCTGGGTGCTCTGCACCTGGAGACATGTGGAAAGCAGAAAGTGCCCATCGCCCACCCACGGGACATGCCCAGCTCTCCTGTCACAGCTGCGTGACGGCTGCTGCGGTTTAACCCTGGCAAAAATATTCCCTGTGCCATCATGCTGCTTTTTTGCCGTGTATCGTACATCTCTGCCACCAGTTTACCCAGAGAGGAAGTTCTGCAGGACAGATATAATAGTCTTAAATCTTTTTTGCCCACAGACAATGGTGAGGTCACCATCCTGCAGGCAGGAAGGCACGAGTTCCCCTTCACCTTCCAACTCCCCGAGTAAGTTGATGGGTTTTTTTGTGGCCTTAATGCAAAGTGGGAGAGGAGCTGCTTGGTGTGTGACACAGATCCTGGGAGGGGGGACAGGGCACCTCAAAAATGAGCTTCTTTCAGCAAATCCTTTCTAAACTGCTCGTTGCTTATACGCAGGACTCTGGCTACCTCCTTCGAGGGAAAGCACGGCAGCGTGCGCTACTGGGTGAAAGCCAAACTGCACAGACCCTGGTCGACAGTGAAGAAAGTGAAGAAGGAATTTACAGTGATTGAACCCATCGACATCAACACGCCTGCGCTGCTGGTGAGCTCCCCCCTGCTCCTCCTCGGGGCAGCAGCACCCAAAACTTCCCGGGGAAGCCCCTGGGGAAGGTGTCTGCCTCCCCTCTGGCATTACAAAGCAGGCCTGACTTCCAGAGGGAATATTTGTGCCCTCCAGTGTCACCTGGACCGGGCAGAGGTCATCTGTGCCTGTTTAGTTTTTGGAAACTTTAACACATTGCGACAGCATCTTGCATCAGATACCTAAGAAGCTGCTGATGCTCCCTGATAGGTTCTCAGTGCCAGGGAGGTGCTTGCTTTGAGTTTCATCCTTTCGAAACTAAACAGCTTAAATATTTCCCTTTCTCCAGGCTCCCCAGGCGGGTGCTAAGGAGAAACTTGCTCGTGCTTGGTACTGCAATCGTGGCCAGGTTTCTGTAACAGCCAAGATTGACCGAAAAGGTTACACCCCAGGTGAGACAATGTGCTGGTGCCCTTGAACCTCTGCGGGCCCTGGGGTAGACCCCAACGGGAGGGGATTTGGGATCACTGGGAGCTGGGCTCTTGATTTCTGTCAGGAAATCAGTCAGAAAGCTTTAGTGTGTGGACCTGATGTGTGCAGACTCTTCAGGCCGAGTTTAAACCTTGTGCCTGCAGTGTCAGACAGCCTGAGCAACCCTCAGTGATCCTATGCAGAATTTCTTGAGGCAGGACTGGGCTCCATCTCCCTTCCTCACACATGTGCGTCTGTTTTGGTAGGTGAGGTCATCCCTATCTTTGCTGAGATCGACAACTGCACAACCCGAGCGGTGGTTCCCAAGGCAGCCATCATCCAGACTCAGACCTTCATCGCTCGGGGCACTAAGAAGCAGAAGAAGTCGGTGGTGACCAGCATTGTTGGTGACTCCATCGCAGCGGGGAAGCGGGAAGTGTGGCACGGGCGGGCGCTGAAGATCCCCCCGGTGGGTCCATCCATCCTCCAGTGCCGCATCATCCAGGTGGAATACTCCCTGAAGGTGAGGGACCCCCCAGGTGGCCCAGCTCGGTGCCGAGTGCTCTCCTCCTCACCAAAGCTGTGCTCCTTGTGCCTGCTTTGGGCTAGTGCAGAGAATCTGGGGGCTGGTGATTTATATGAGACCTTGGGTTCTCCCTGTTGCCCCTCAGGCACAGCACAAGGGCTCGTGCAGGAACGTTCTCATCTCAGAATCACAGAATTGTCTGGGTTGGAAAAGACCTTGAAGATCATCCAGTCCAACCATTAACCTAACACTGACAGTTCCAAACTCCACCACATCCCTAAGTGCTCTGTCGACCCGACTCTTGAACACCTCCAGGGATGGGGACTCCACCACCTCCCTGGGCAGCCCTTTCCAACCTAAAAACCCCTTCTGTAAAGAAATGCTTCCTAATATCTAGTCTAAGACTATCTCCCTTTGCACCCCGCTGCAAGAATTCCCTCCTGGCCAGCTTGAGCCAGTGCTCTGGGGAAGATATCTGCCCCTCTGGACTGGCAAAACACCAACAGCTGAGCTTCCCTGCTGTCTCCTGTCTCTGAAGGTTTGTGTGGATATTCCTGGGACGTCCAAGCTGCTCCTCGAACTGCCGCTTGTCATCGGCACCATCCCACTGCATCCGTTCGGGAGCCGCACGTCCAGCGTCAGCAGCCAGTACAGCGTCAACCTGGACTGGCTGAGCGCCATCCCGGAGCAGCCGGAGGGTGAGCGTCTCCCCGGGGCCTGCCTGGGTGCTGCAGAACCCCCTGCTCGACCCGCTCCGGGTAGTGAGCCTCAGAGCAAGTTCTTAACTCTGCCTCTTACTCCAAGACCAGCTTTTGGTGCTTTACTTTTTTTTTTTTTTCTTCTGGTTGTGGTGCTGCACCTCCTGGGTTCCTTCCCCAGGGAACTGGGAGGGTTTAGGAAATAGTGGATATGAAGTCCTTTTACCTGCGTGTTTCATATTCCTTGATGAATCTCCTCTTCTCTTCAGCTCCCCCTGAATACTCAGCAGTTGTGTCCAGCCCAGAGGCCGAGCAGAGCCTGGCTCCGCCGTGCCGCAGCGAACTCGGCAGCATCCTGGAAGGTCCCTTCTTCGCCTACATCCAGGAGTTTCGCTTCCGACCACCTCCGCTCTACTCGGAGGTAACTAATCCCCCTGGGCTGGGAGGGCTGGTGGACATGGCCGGGCTGTACCCACCACCGAGTTTTTTTGACTCTAAACTTGACTTTGCAGATTGATCCAAACCCCCCTTCAGACAACATCCGTCCACGCTGCATGACCTGTTGAGAGAAGCGCATGGGCTGCGGTTGGCAGCGTGGCGATCCCTCGGGATGAAAGCTTGTCCCCTCGCAGCACTTGGGGCTGGAAACGGAGACACGGCGGCCGTGAGACCAGAGCTCCTGCAGCGCCGACACCCCGGCTCCGCTCACTGCCCTCAACTACTCCTGTCCTGACTGTCCTACGGGCCGACACCGAGCGCGGTGCCGCAGGCTCGTGCATGGGAGGAGAACGTGAGACCCTGCGCCGTGGAGCAGCTCCGCGTGGGCTTGGGCAGGGCGCCGAGGGTTAAAAGCTGCCCCAGGATTTTGGGATTCGAAGCAGGGGGATATTTGCTCTCCCCTTGCCTGCAGTGGTCGTACTCTGACAACTCCTGTCATGGAAAACAGGAGCTTGGAGGTATTTCTCGGGATTACTAGAGAATATTTTAGTGTTGCTGGGGTTTGAGTCCTGTGGTGATGCAGGCACAGCCCTTCTCCTGCAGTAGCTCACTGGGATTGCAGTTCCTGGTGAAAGTTAAAGGCCTTTTTCTGGCCGTATGAAGCAGAGACTTCATCTGCTGCTGATAATCTTTGCCACAGCCTGGTGATGCCTGCAGGGAGAATGGTCTGAGCTAAATACCGAAGCTGGAAAAGCTTCCATGGGCTGTTACCAGGGGAGAGGACTCGGGCTGATTTTTATGATCTGTGGCAGCGTTTTGGTGCCCTTTACCAAGAACAGGAAAGCTGCTTCTTGTGTGTCAGAGCCAAACCTGCACCATATGCTGATGCCTCCCCTGTGATGGGGCTGAAACCAACCCCCAAACTGCCATACCACCACGGGGGTGCTCGAGCCGTAGCTCTGGCATCTCCTGGGAGGCCGAGGAGAGGAGAAGGAAGCCCGGTCCAAGGCTGGTGACAGCCACAAACGCTGATGGAGTTGAAATAAGTCCCTCAGGGCCACGAGTCCTGCTCAGGACGGGTTCCATCCTGCGCCCGTAGAGGGGGTCAGCGTCCCTGGCGCGGTGAGGACGCAGCAGCACCCTGCGCTCGCCGGTGTGGGAACCGGAGAGCCGGGTGTTGTAGCAAGAACCGCTCGAGCCAGGGGCTGACCCTGCTTGCTCCGGCATCACCTGAGCAGAGTTTGGGTGCTGAGGCCCTTTGCATTCCCTCGCTGAGACAATCCTGCCCGCGGGGCTGCTCACGCGTGGCCGGGGCCGAGCCTGCCTCAGCCTCCGCGCTGCGGCTGCGCTCTGCTCCCTCGGGATTGCTCAGGCGACTTTTTGTATCTGTGAACACTTTTGTAATGACCACCCTTGTCTCTATTCTTTTTGTACGACTTTTTGTTGGGGAATATTTGTTTGAAATAAATTCTTTAAACCCAGATGTTGCCTGGATTATTTTTTTTTCCCATTTTCTTTCTGCTCCCCATTGCCCTGGGCCGTGCAGCTCATGTGGCTGTTGGGAGTTGGGAGTGCTCCCTCCCTTCACCTCATTGCCCTGCGGGCACCCAGCTCCACCCTGTACCCAATCCCATTCTGCACTGGGATTAACTGGGTCACTCAGCCAGTGCTGCTCCCTAGCAGGATTGGTGTCCCCTGTACTCCGCTTCCCCCCAGCTCTGGATGTTGGGCAAGGCCAAGTGTGATGCTCCACACGGTGCCCCCAGCTCCTCCACCTCAGTGCAGGTTTGGCCCTTTTCCCATCACCAATTTTGCAGGGCCACGAGCCATCCAGGTGTATTTTTCCATACTCTCTCCTTGTGTCCGGGCTGTCGGAGGACAGACCCACGCTCTCAGCCTGGCAGGGAGCAGCAGGTCCAGCTGGGAGCCAGACAGGACCATGGTCCCTCAGCCATTCCCAGGGAGGGTTGGGCTCAGCCCCACGCTGTGCCGGCTACGAACAGAGCAGGAAAGCTCCTTCACCTGCTTCCTTGGGCTGGGATTTGGTTTTTAACGGCATTTCAGTGCTTCATATCTCTGCTGAGCACAGCAAATCTGGCAGGGCTTGAGTTGGGGCTTTAGTTGTGTCTTCCACAGACTATGCTAGTTAAAAATACTGCCACTGGAATGTGATTTCCC